GACATCACATACCTACTTTTCTTGCTAAACTCAATATATTCTGAGAAGTGGCATATTTTTTGGCCCTGACCCCTCTGACTGGTCAGCAGTGATTCGATTTTGATAAAATGTGGTGCACACCTGAGGCGCTCCCTCTTCATGTCGCAGGGGGAGGATTATATGGCAACTTCTGAAATTCCCAGCAGGTGGTAACACTTCAATAGCTGCCTAATCCCATTGCAATAAGCGTATGCTGGTGGAAAATAATTAATCTCTTTCCTGACGTACAGATAAAGTATCTTAAATTTGTGGAAATGTTGCAGCTGAACATTTCTCTCTGCTGTCTGTGCTGCTTGGTGTCCCTCAAGTGAAATGTGGGGAGGATTTAGGGACTTCCAGGCTTTTCCGTCTCCAGCCTATTTTACTGTTGGCCTCTCATGCATAACCAGAATTGTGCAAATTTCAGGTTGCAAATATGACTGAAAAATGTTTACTAATGGACAGCTATTAAGGAAACTCTTTTTCATGTGGGATTTTTTTTTTCTTTATATTCTGGCAACATTTTACTTGCTTTAAATTCCAGTAAATAACTTTATTTTTCTGACAGCATTGCTCCAGGCCCTAACTGGTTGCTGGGTCCATTGAGGTGGCTGGAATAGGTGTTTGAGAGGTGGAGGGGGGGAAGCAGGCTGGCTTGGAGAGGAACAGTCCCCAACCTGACCCCACCACTTACTCCTTCCCCAAACCCTTCTCTCACCTTGTTCTCACATGTGCCCTGAATCGGGGAGGGGGCTCCCCGTGCTGTCGCAGGGTCCACCTTCATGTGGAGCTGTGTGTCCTGTGGGATAGGGAGGGAACAGGGCTGTGCTCAAAGGAGACATGAGTGAGAACAGGGCGTTTTCCCGATTCCTGGAGGAGGAAGAAAAGGTGACTGGTTTCTGAAATGTCACGTCTGCTCTGCGGCCTCGAGTACTGTTGCAAAGGAGTACTGGGAGTCGTAAATTCAGTTGGCTTGTGGTTTGTTTTTGGTTTGGGTTTGTGGGCTTTTGTTTTGTTTTGTTCGTAAAACCAGATGATCAGAAAATACTTTATGATTGTAATGACATAGAGAAATAGGGACATTATTTGAATAGATTAATATATGTGACTCAAATAGCAAGTGTATATATATATATATAAATTATATATATTAACCTGTTCTGTTACTTCTTTATTTACAAAAAAATGCTGTAACTAAAATAGTAAATTTTATGTTTGGTTCTTACACCCTGGCACTGTGATGCTTGTAAACCTTGCAGTTCATGGTGGATTTATTCTTCTAATACCCATGTCAGATGGTGAAGTACCATTTCCAGTGGAGAGCTATGACACAGGGAAACTAAGTGATGTGACCAAGATCACACAGGACCTCTGCTGCCGAGCGGGGACTTGAAGTTTTCCTGTGTCATCTGCATTGCACACGAGCCTTTTGGTCTTCACTTCCAAGGCGCTTTGTGGTTTATACCCTCCTCATCTGTCATTTCCAATTCCCTTTGGAGAGGAATTCTTCCACTTCCAATCAGCCCATTACACCGTCTCTTGGAAGAAGAAAGCATCTTTTTATGTTGCTGTGCTTCTGCTGCATCTCACACAATAAAGCCTTAGTCTGTGCTTGTCCACGAGAGCAATAAATTAAAAAAGCCAATTATTCAAAGTCTGATAGCCTTCTCTGTTCGATGATTTTTCATCTCATTAAGTTAATGAACTTGAGGTAGAAGATCTGAATAGAGTAGAAACCATTTCTGCCTTTAAAAGCAAAATTTTGTGCGAGTATGAAAAAGTGGAAAAATGATAGAGCGAGGGACAGGAAACAGAAATGTGGAGAGGCTTGAAGAAGACTTAAAAATGAGAAGAAATCTGGAAACAAGGTGGCTTAGGGAAGACTGAGAGGAGAAAGGAGAAGTCAAAACTGATCTTAGAGGTCAGTGTAAGACCCATCCAAAATGGAGGCAAGGTAAAAGGAGTGAAAGCTGAAGGAGGGGAGAGAAAGAAATCTGGGGGGAGAGAGAGGAGAAGGAGAAGGGCAATCCTACGCCAGAAACGGGCCAACAGTTCTTGACTTCAAAGCTTCTGTTAGAATCAAGCTGGCAAAACCTTTGGGAGGCTTAATGGAGGTAATTTAATTGGAGTTTTGTCTGAAGGTAGGGCTGTGTTTCAGCTGGGAGCCTGAGGTAGCTGTGTGTGAGGCGGGAGGGCTCCCACCGCATCGCAGTGACGTTTGCAGAGGGTGAAGTAGCCCCGGGCTAGGCTTCCAGAGGTACCTGATGTCACTAATTGGGAGTTAGTTTTGGTACCGTTTCAAAGACTCCGGTTCTCGCCTGGGTGTTGCCTGCACTGCACGCCAGAGTCTTTTGCCAAGCGAGCTGAGATAACACAGAGGAAAGGGTGAGAGGGAAGGAGGCTTTGGCCTGATGAATGGTCGGTGTTACCGAAACACCCGAGTGCTGGCTCTGTCTGTGGGCTTGGTTAGAAAGAGACTCTGTCCTGAAGAGTCAGTGCTAAAAATACAGACAATGGGGTGGGAAGGAGTGCTCTCCTGCACAGGCTTTTTTCTTTCTTCCCGAGGATGTATTCTCTCTAATATAGCTTCATTTCCTCTCTGCAGCGTGTTGCTCATTAGGCTGGGATTAGGATTATTTGCATTTCACCTGTCAGTGTGTGACTCTCTGAGGGAAGTAGTGATAAAGGCTATCTGAAAAATACACAGCTAGGAAAGCTAGAAGAGGGGTCGTTAAATCATAAAGTTCAATCGCAGTTGGGGCCCACAAAATGTTTTTCCCACTCTTTATTTCAGAGCAGTTTACAGCAATGCCACATGACTTCTCCTGTCTTCCCTGAGCAGTTAATGCTACAGGCCAAGGCATCTTGGCCTCTAGCATTAGCCTCTAGAATACTGCATCCAGTTCTGGTGCCCCCACCATAAGAGGGACATAAATCTGTTTGGGCACGTTCAGAGGAGGCCACAAGGATGATCCAGGGGCTGGAGCACCTCTGCTACGAGGACAGGCTGCAGGAGCTGGGATTGTTCAGCCTTGAAAAGAGAAGACTTTGGGGGGACCTAATAGCTGCCTTCCAGTACCTGAAGGGAACCTACAGGAAGGCTGGGGAGGGACTTTTTACAAGAGTGTCCACTGATAGGACAAGGGGAAATGGGTTTAAGTTGAAGGTGAATAGGTTTAAATTGGACCTTAGGAAGAAATTCTTCAGTATGAGGATGGCAAGACTTTGGCAGAGATGGCAGAGATGGCAGAGATGTTGTGGCTGCCCCCTCCCTGGGAGTGTTCAAGGCCAAGCTGGACGGAGCCTTGAGTAGCCTGATCTAGTTGAGAGGCGTCCCTGCCTATGACAGGGAGGTTGGACTAGATGATCTCTAAGGTTCCTTCCAACTTAGGCCATTCTATGATTCTATGATCTATCACGATCACCTTTTTTTTTTTAGTTTAAATGAAATCCGTTTCTTCTTTCTTCGACCACTTTGATTCTTTGTGTCGATTAACGGTCAGTAATGATGTGGGAAAGGAATGACGTCCCCAACGCGATGCCGTGCCCGATGCTGGTTACGGGGGGTGGTTTTGGAGCGGCTGCCCTGGGAGGCAGGCGGGCTCTCCACCACTCTTGGCAAGCAACCCGCCCCTGTCCTGCAGCGTAAGGGTTGTCTTCCTGTAATTTACGGCGTATCAAGTGAAATTGTGGGTGGTGGCAGTATCACTGTCCCTATCTAATTCTTTCTGGAGCCTTGTCAAGTTCACAGGCCGGATGATGATTATTCCCTTCAGATATGCACAGCTATTATTGTAATGGGCTTTTGCTGAGCAAAGGCATGCTCTTAGTTCTTTCTCAGAAATTATTGTCTCCAGCCACTTGGCACAGGGAGCAGTTTAAAAAGCTTTCAAGTAACACGTCTCTTAGTTCAACTAGTCTAGCAGTGTAACTGTTGAAATACCTCATTTGTGGTTCCTGAAGACAGACCTGATTTTTGCTGTACATAGCTCCTACATTTTACTTTTGTGCTCTGCAGTTTTGTTCGCTTCTAACTTTTGCCTGCTCCAGTGCCAGATTTCCCTCATAAAATTAGGCTGCAAATTGTATGGAATGAGAACTTTCTTGCGCGTTTGTGTGACGGTGAGCACGGTCAGACTGACTTGCCGGTGCTCCTGTGCAATACAGAAGAGCAATTCTTGCATTTTGAGAATGGTTTCCTTGAGCTAGATCTTCTCTTTTTAGATTTTCCCCTACTTGTTTCCGAAGTGAACTGTTGGTTTTGCTGCTATCATTGTGCTTCCAGCCTGTTCTGTGTGATTATTATGAGACTCACAAAGACTAGTTTAAAGCACATGGACGTAAAATTGTGAAACTCGCCAAGAGGTATTTTATTTTTTGTTGGCTTAACCAAGGCTGCAGAGAACTTAAAAAATGATGGAGGAAAGAGTCGAAGTTGGCACCTTCTCCACCTGATCAGTCTGAATGACATAAAAGGCAGTTACAGATCTTTTATAAATCTAGTAAGATAGCTAAATATAATACTAGACCTGAATAATGGCAGTTTGAGGACCAAAATGGTAGTTTTTTGATGAGTCTCTTTCATTCTTGAAAGCAGTTGACAGCAATATGAATTGTGTAGCAGCAGTCAATCTCCAATATTGATATGTGCTGAGATCACAGTTACATCTTGTACAAAATACTTGTTACTTCACTATCGCGAGCCTTGATCTTAATGTAAGACACGCACAGCAGCGGTTACTGCAGTGCAAAGGTAAATCTTTGTGACCTGTCTTTGTTCTTCTGGCTCAGGAGGAAAAATTTATTGTACAGTGAATTGTAGTTGTGCTTGTTCAGATCCATTGATACAGTATTAGAAATTTTTAAGTAAATGGGAGAAAAGTGTTGATTAATAGTGTATCTTTTTTACTTATTAGTGGGATGTCTTCCTCCTTGTATTTTATAAAGCAGAATCAACCCAGCTGTAATTTTTTAACTTTCAGGTTTTCTTGGAAAAAAAGTGCCTGCACTTTGGACTTGAATAAGGACATGAGGAGTAAAAGGACCTGGGATCTCACTGGTCAGAATGAAACAGATGCTGAAAGACTTTTCAAATCTGTTGTTAGTAGTGCTCTGTGACTATGGTGAGTACTAGAGCTATCAAGGGAAAACGGTGAGATATGTGTTCATAAGGTGGTTTTGGATGGCGCTGTTTCCAGGTGATGTGTTGAAATCAGATGCCACAGAGGCTACCACTGATAAGCACAGAATGTAGTCAGACCTGATGCAATATTTAGGAGGAAAATACGACTTGCATAAACTGTCTCTTTAGATCAGAGTGGCAGGAACCTTCCCTGCTGTAAATTTGCCCAGAAAAATAAACAAGATAAATGAACATATTTCCATGGGTATCACTGAGGGTCTGGCTGTGTTCGAAGCAACAACTGGAACTCTATTCTCTTGTAAGGCTCATATTTCACAATATTTAATGAACACCATGGAAGATAGACCTAGTTTAGGTATCCATACCAGGATGGGTGGAACTGCACTATGCAACTACCTGTTTCTCTCCAGGAACATCTGACTGAGATAGAAGCATCTGTAGTACAGGCAACCTCTTGTGACTGAGTGAGCCCCCATCTGATGGTCCTAAGCTGCAGCTTAGAGAACTTTTGAGGACAACAGAGATGTTCTTTCCTCAGACCATATAAGAAGCCAAAAGAACGTGTTCATACTCATTCACTTTTAGTTAAGGAAAATTAGTCAGCTAGGCAAAGGCAATCAGTCTCATTTGAGTAGTCCACACACAAATCAGCACACATTGAAAGCAGCTCCAACCCATCTGCAGTCTGAGATGTGTGGAATGAAAAAGCACTTCTTTCTCACTGCCAGCTGCCAAGGAGGAAGGTTAGAGACACTTCAAGTTAGACAACCGTAAAATGTCTACAAGCTGAGGGCCATAATGTGCACGATGTCTTATCTTTTCCAAGAATGTACTAAGCAGGAAATAGATTTGCAGAGGGAATTAATTCCTTATGGCACAGTGAATTAGAAATGTTGAAAACAGGACTCAATTCCTAAATAATACGTATGTTTTTGAAAACTGAGTTCCTAATTTAAAAGCAGGCATTATTCTGACAGCTGCAGTACGTTGTCAAACCATGCTAAAGGATTAAGCTGTGCACTGCTGAAATGTCTACAGCATGGAGAAAATGGGCAGGTTTCTTTAGTCTCCCCTCATGAAAGGAGTGGTGGTAGCAGGTAGCTTGCACACCAAACAGCCAAAGATATCTTAAAAGGGAGAGTAATGGACCAAAAATGTGTGCAGTTTGTTCTCCTCATATGAGTGAGAAAAATCTGACTATACGTAATGACTGAGTACTGAGTATGCTCAGCTGCTTGTGCCTCTGTGCTTGCTCCATGTCATCTCTAGAGCAAAGGATCACTGGAAGGTATAAAGAACAGAATTGCCATCTTTTAGATGAACTTAATTCCATTAGAAGTGGAGATGCTTGTCTATAGCTTTTAGTACCATTTCTTCAAAATTTACTAAGTTAGGAACACTACACTGAGTCGGGAGCACAGAGGAGGAGGTAAGTATTAAATTTGCAAAACCTAAGAAGTGAGGTGAATGGTTGCAATATCCACTGGTTGTTGATAAGCTGGTCCTCTAGGCATTCACAACTAGTCGATCCAAGAGGTAAAAACTATTATTCCTGAACTTTATGAAGTGTGGCACCCTAAGTAATTACAAGGTACTGTTAAAGAACTAAATCTCTGCTGCAGACTTGAGGTGCATCATCTTCTGCCTTATTTCCAGTTAAATGGTAGTCCATAATTCAGAAAATGTCTTCCAAAAAGTTCTGTGTATGCACATCTTTGAGCATCACATATGTACAGAATTTTTTGGTAACTATTACACTCATGTACTTCTCTGTTGCAGACTAAGACTATGTTTTACATGATGCAGTATGCTCTGGAAAATTACTGCCATTCTAAAAAAAGCCCTAACATACAACAAAACAGTATTCTCATTTCTTACCAGTGTTTCTGATGTGTTTGTTCTTCTTAGCTCTGTGATAGTGGTGGCTGACAAGCTAACAGCACAACCTAAGTTGGCTTGAACACAATTAAAAATAAATACATATCGGAATAGCACCCTCAAATAGTTCTTCTCAGTCTTCGTGGAAAACAAGGATTTTCCTTTTGATCTTTCTACAGGTGAGTCCTCGCAAAGACTCCTCTGGCAGGTTGTTGGCATCATGGCCAGGCTCCATTCAGTGGGAGACCATTCTAATGACAACCAAAAATAAACAAATGCAATGATAGCTGCCCCTGACTGGCCGTGCAAACATCCAGGACCACATTTTGGCGTGTGACACGGTCACGCGTGCCCAGTAGGCTGGAGGGCAGCTGAGGGGACTTGCAATGGAAGCTAGATTGTTCTGGCTGGCCCCTTTTGGAGCAGCGGTAGGTGGGCTGTCCGTGAGTGCAAAGTTCTTGTGTTATTAACTAAAGATTGGGGAAAGGGAGCTGTGCAATGCTGTAACAGCATCGTCCTGTAATCCTCACTTTCCTCGCTTGCCAAGTGCTCTGCGTTAGGGTTGGTGAGAGCTGCACGGCAGTGCTCTGGCCTCTCTCCAGTCCTCCCACACAGGTACACAGTGGTGTTAGCGCTCCTCGTCTGAGCTGTTCCAAAATAAAAATAGTGCAAGAGAGTCAAGATGGTTGTAAAAGAGAGCAGGGACAGCTGAAGAGTGGTTACAAACATTAACGCTTTTCATTACTATCACTTTACTGTTTTTGCTGCAAGTTTAAAGCTTGAAGTTGAAAATTTTCACGCTGGATTTTTGCCACGGTCTGATTTCTTTTTCCCTTGTAATGTTTCAGCTAAGTTGAATCTAACCAATCCTTTGCAGAGAAAAGCAGCCCGTGTTCAAAGAAACAAAACCCCAGCAGCTTACAACTGCTTCACTGGGAGACTCTAAGACAGCTCTGGGAACTTCGTGTTTGTTCATGAGTTTCAGGAGCTGTGGTAGCAGTAGTGGAGTTGAGATATTGACAGTAGGTGACAGTAGGTTCCCAGTAGGGAACAGGACTGGAAGATTTGTGCAGGCACAGGTGACAGAACCAAAACATGAAGAGCAAGGAGAATGTGTTGCTGTGCAGTTCACAGAGAGCCATTTTTCACAGGTATTCAGGGTCTCTTTCCTACTCTCTCAGTGTCCAAGTTGAGAGCAAGGTTGCTGGGATCCTGCTTTGGGCATCTGAAGGACCACTGTATTTAAATTCAGGTTCTGAGTTTCTCAGGGCATCCACAATTAGTTGATATTTGACTGTTTTTACCTTTGTGCCTGCGCCGTGGTTCCTAACACACTAAATAAGAATAGCGATATCCTCTCATCTTTCGGAGATATTGTAAGGATAAGCTCTTTAATATTTGTAGTGCAGTAATATACTATAATAAGAACACAATAGAAGAGTCTACGGGGGAAGTCAATAATTCTGCATTATCAGGATGGGTTTTGGGTGGTGTGCAGTCATAAATACATGGGACCACCCATGAAAGAATGAGAACAAAAGAGCCCTGTGGTAACGAGCAAGGTCCATCTGCCAAATGAAGCAACGTCTTGTGGAAATGCAGACTGAAAAGTCAGTTACAGTGCATATGTGTAAGAGTATGTGCATGATTTATATGTGTAAGGCTGTGCCACCTTCATTTGGCCTCTGTGGATGTGGTTGGAAGTGGTTATTTTAAGGGCGTGTTGCAGCTGGTGGAGAGGAATAGGCTCTTATAGTGGAAACTGCCCCTCACCCTGATGTAAATGTCTGTAGCTGGTCAGATGAATTTCTTCCCGAAAACCTTCCCTGCTGACAAGAAAGTGAATCCAAGGTGACTAACTGAAATTGAAGCTTAGAGTGGTAGGCGTCTAACATGATACGAGTCCTGCTACTCCTGACTGCTGAGTGCTTGCCTTGGCAGTTGCCATGTTTTTCCAGCAAAGCTTTCTTTGAGGGAATCTTAAGACATGTGCAACAGATTTAACAAGGCAAAGTATTGTTACTTGATACTACTTATGAAAGGATTGCTTTAACTGAAGTCTTACACTTCCGTAGCACCTTCCATCCAAGACTCAGAAGCCTTTTCCCAGACAATTAATTAAAGATGTCTCCCAGCGCATTCTGTATCTGGAAGAGATATATGCAGTCTCGTTTTTCAGATAACCTTTCTGTGTCTGAAATTCTGAAGTTTCAAGCAAACGCAGAAAAGCTAGCTGAGCTGAGAATGGAAATGTGATCTTCCCAATCCATTGCTTTAGATATCATCTATCCCCACTAGTTACAGCATGTCTCAGGATGATTTGGCAACGTGCACAAACATGGTCATGCAAGAAGTGCCTTTAAAAAAGTCTGCGCCATTTATAATGAAATGATGTCATTTAGACATGTTGCACCACATCTGAGACAAGAAAAGTGCTGCAGTCACCATCACTGTTATTTTCTGCTCTTTCACTCAACTGTCTCTGCGATGCAAATGAGCAAAATGAAAGATTCATAAGACAGAGCAAGAGAAGAGGCTTCAAAAAGCATCATGCAGACTTCCTATTTTATTTAATTTGGGGGACATTTTTCATGTTTCTGTATTAAGAAACTACTGTCCTTTTCATGCTAAAGTAAGTGGAACAGCAGCTGTCCACTGTAAAGTGGGCTTTAAGAATCTATAAGCAAAAGAAGTTGAGAAGTTTGAGAATCTATCCTGATAAAGTTTTCTGTGTCTTTCAACTTGTTTTGTTTTTTTTAAAAAAAACCCTAATTTTTAACCTTTCTGAACATGTTACTGCAATGGACTTCAGGCTGCTCCAGACCACATCCCTGCACAACAGAGAGGTGGTGAGCTTTAATTGCTATAGCTAGGATTCTTCTTTTCTTTTTTGGTGAACTGATTTGCTTAAAAAAGTTTGAGAACCACTTCTTAAATATCCACTTTATAAATATTTTTTTTCTTCCATAAGGTAGGTAGATAAACAATCAGTTGTCTCTTTGGTTGTTAATACTCTTGTGACACCGCTTTCTCTTTCAGTTCTTGGCGAAGTGGAGTATCTCTTGTTGGAGCGCCCGGGTCACGTAGCCTTCAGCAATGACACAGTGTCTGTGGAATATCAGTTCTTTACCGGTGGTAATGTGACAGCAGAGCATCTGTCCATCCTGTTGCTGGATGTCAGCACCAACAAGATAATTGCAAGAAAACAGCTTCCAGCAAATCAGTCCCAGGGGAGAGTAGAGTTTGAGTGTTTCCATTTCAAGAGTGCTGGGGACTTCTTGTTCGCAATGGTCTCTCCCAGCGATAACAGCAGTGCTGTCCAGTGGAGCAGAAGAAGCCCGTCCACCCTCCACGTGGAGTGGCCTGTATTCCACATTGATTTGAACAGGAGTTCAGAAGTGCTTGGGAGCTCCCTTCAGGTTGGACTTTTTACAAATGTGCAGTTGTGTGCCATGAGTGAGACAGTGGTTTTGCTGGATGTGATATTCACCAGCACCCTTTATGAATTTGGAAGAGTAAGCTCTGATGAGACTCTGGGCATTAGAACTAGCAAAGGAATCCCGCTCTCTAGGTCCCAGTGGGTAGAGATTGACTGCCCGCCTGTTGGTCAAGAAACATACATCACTGTGTTACTGAAATCGTTAGAAACACATTCCGTCATTGCCTCCATAGGACCCATAGATCTCCTCCACAAATTTGGATACAGACTGGTTGTGGCACCGGAAGCCACATGCAAAACTTTGGTCCAGGTCTTCGTCGTGTCTCCACCGTGCACTTCTATCAGCGGAAAAATTGTCGTCTATAAAGAGGCTCTCAAGCATCCTAGTCAGAGAACAACTTGGCTCTATGAAAACATCCTTCACCCAGGAGACAACAGGACAGAATTTAACTGCACTTTGTTTGATGTGGGGAAGAACAAGTACTGCTTTGACCTCATTAACTTCTCAAACCGAAGCCATTTCCCAACAAGAGTTAAGGAGTGTATGATGATCCAAAGGAACATAGGTTTGTACTCCTGTTTGTCCTTTTTTAGCCAAAAATTGGCCTCTTCACAGCCAACATGGGCAATGATAAATAGCTTTGACTGTGAAATCCCCTGTTGGATAGCTACTTCTTGGGTCTCCCACACCAGGCAAAATAATTGTAATGTCATATGCAGATGGGAACAAGATGGAGTGAACTGTTGTGTAGAGCCATACACAAGGACATTTGGTAACAAATGCCACTGTGATAGCTTAAAACTGCGCTAAGCTAACACTAAGTACCAACCGAAACCATTTGGGGCCTTCTGAGTGATGTGTCTATCTAGTCAGGGTAGAACTGAAACTTGGCCCTCTCAGTGGAGTAGGAAGCTACTGCAGTATATTTGGCCTATTGGAGACACTAAAGGTAGAATTAGTCTGACATCTAAGTGTCTAAATGCCAAGGGTCCAACATTAAGTAGTTGTCTAGATCTTTAGTCAAGAGAGGCAGGCATCTCACAAGGGTGATTCATGGATATAGAAGATACATGGGCTGAATCCTCACCTGAGTGTCTTTTTCTCTAGCCCATTTGCTGTAGGAGTTTATAGTCCTACCTGTTAGATCACAGATTTTGGTGAGGTGAATCAGGAAGTAGCCACAGCAAAAGACACTTGGACAGCTTGCGGGTTTTTCAAGTGGCCTTTCCAGACATGCCTCTGCTGCTTAAAACAGATAAGGGTATATTTTTTGACCTATGAGGCCACTTGGCAGATCGTGGGTCACATTTGTATAGCTAAGCTTTTCTTCACAGGAAAGATTAGTCATACAGGCTGCCAGCTAGGGACAGTCTGTGGTCCGCATAGTCCTTTGGGCCATGACCAACCCAAAAAGGTCAGGAAAGATGACCCAGGTAACTGCAGACCAGTCAGCCTCACCTCCATCCCTGGAAAGGTGATGGAACAACTCATCCTTGGCGCTTTCTCTAGACATATCAAGGATAAGAAGGTTATTAGGAGCAGTCAGCATGGCTTTGCCAAGGGGAAGTCATGTTTGACCAACCTGATAGCCTTTTATGAAGACATAACCAGGTGGATGGTGGGCATGCAGTGGATGTGGTCTATCTGGGTATCATCAAGTCATTTGACACCGTCTCCCACAACATCCTCATAGGTAAACTGAGGAAGTGTGGGCTGGATGACCAAGTAGTGAGGTGGGTCGCTAATTGGTTGAAGGGAAGGAAGTCAGAGCATTGTAGTCAATGGGGCAGAGTCTAGTTGGACATTAAAAACCCGCCTGGACACGTTCCTGTGTGACCTACTGTAGGTGATCCTGCTCTGGCAGGGGGGCTGGACTAGATGATCTTTTGAGGTCCCTTCCGACCCTTAACATTCTGTCATTCTGTGATGACCAGGCATGGTCTGGGAGAGTGCTTGTTGGCAGAAGCCAAAACCACGTCCAGGAACATGAATGGTCAAGGTTAAGGAGTTAAGTATGATCACAAGATAGAGCTTGGGCCCATTCTTCAGCACTGTAGCTTTACATTCTGTTTGTATCTATACTTCATATGCAGCCGTAGCTTCAGACGTGGCAGCCCATGGTTTGGCAGAGTCTACAAATCACGGCATCATGGCAGAGGAGGCAGATGAGCCAAATGAGACTCTCATCCCTCGTTTGTGAAAGGCGACTGCAGTGAGGGATGAGCTGTATGTGCACGGGGGGATTGGAGTTGAGTTGGTTTAGATTGTGTTGCCTACACCCTAGAATGGAAAAGTAAACGTTCTCGTCAGGAGCAACCTTCTGTCCATAGGTAGTGAATTAGTCTTTCCCGTCTGCATACTTTGAAGAGTTTGGGTTGAAAGGTGTGAGATAGATAGACACCATTTTCTATACCTCTCCACCCTGGTCTCTCTGAAAAGGAAGTGCAAGAACTCGAGACAAAAACCAGACCTTGCATTTTGTGGGCAGGTGTCTGGGCAGGATCATCAGGAGACCAGGAGTGTAGGACATGCTCTGTAGCACACAGTCCGGACACAGCCTGCCGTAATTAGGTTCCTGGTATCGTGTGGTCTTACTTTGTACTATTTAATAGATTCTAAAACTGTTAGCTGTTTAATTAACACTCTGTACTAAAAATGACCTCTATTTTCACCACATGCCAAATTCACTACGTAGTTCTTCATCTTAACTTCCCATCTGCGTTCTCTGTTGGCACTCTCTCTCTTCCTTTGGCATAAGAAAGTCTATCTAAAAATGAAAGCATATTCTTTTCTTAATGGAGATAATTCTCCAGGAAAAAGGAAAAGAGAATTCCAATTCTTTCTCTGTGCTTGGGTGGTATGTTACACTGATATGATTTACATAATTACCCTGACAGATGAATACCTAGGATATGACATAGATATGCTTCTATGCTCAAGAATTGACTTTTAATTGATGAGATCCACCTTAAGCAATGACTCCCTGCAACCTGCTTTGTTTCCTCGGTTCCCCGACATCCTTACAACCACAGCCGAAGAAATCAGGCTACGCCTGTGCAGAGCGGAGTTAAGTCAATAGCTGCCAAGTTAGAAGTGTCAAATCTACAAAGCCGATGAAAGCAAAACCACACTGCGTAGACGTAAATAAAATGTCAGCCTGAAATTAATTAGACTGCAGCACATCTGACTTTGTGCCTGGTATCTGCAAGACTTCAAAGCCCGCAGGCAGCTTTTGAAAAGAGCAGGGCGTTCTGGCAGGGGCGCATCACCCTGAAGGCACGACAGGCAGAAGGAACCTGCGCTGCCTGCAATGGCCATCCGTGCCCGGCTGCTCCGGAAAGCCCCCTCCTTGCCCTCTCACTCCACTCAGACTCAGACCCCCGGTAGCTGCTTGTGCAAAATGTATGGCTGCTGCACACCAGGTGCCGCTCCTCAAGTCACTTATTGTCTGCTTTGGACTTCTGAAGTCACTCAGGTTGAAGCGAGGAGAGGTGATAAATCCTCGAGCCTGGGCTCCCGTGCAGCACGGGCCGTTGCTTTTCATCCAGTTCCCCTGGTGCTGAGCCCCACGGCTGGTCTTCGCATTCGACTGCTGCTTATCCTCCAGAGAGTTATCCAGCCTTTTGTTGAAGGCTCCACAAAACAGAGACCCTTCTGGTAATTTCTCTGAATACTGTGCTCTGATATTTTTTAAAATTTTTTTGAAAAAGGAAAATCTGTGTGTTTTGTAACTAAGATTCATCCCCTCGAGACTGGGTTTTACTCTGCTGCTCTCTGCTAGAGGAGACAGCTGTTTCCTATCCAACTGTCTTCCCCTTGTGAAGGCATTTGCACATCCAGATCATCTCAGTCCTTCCAAATTATCTCAGTGTTCTTTTTGAATAAGCTGAAAAGATTGAGTCTTTAATTGGAAGGCATCTTCTTCAGGATTTGATTAATTCTCCAGCTCTCTTCAGCTCAGTTTCTGTTATTTTAAATACTCCTTGTTATTTGACGATGGGACTACCAGCTTTGGGTGCTGTGTTCAAACATCCTTCTCACTGATGCTGCTTGAGCTCCTTACCATTGCCTCTGCTTTCATTCCACTAATTGCATTAGCTAATTTTGACATAACTTTTGCCGTGTAAACTTCTCTTGAGCTGTTTTTGTTTGTGACCTCTCAGTATGTGGTCTGCCATCCTGCAGGTACGATTTGTATTCATTCTTCCTACCTTTTTTATTTTGCCTGTTTATGATCTACTTCGCTTAAGTTATCCTAACTTAGCAAGTACCCTACATTGCTCCTTACAACTGCACTATCTGCTTATGACACCACGGGAATGACATGTTTTCTCAGTAATGGTTTTATATTTATTTTTATGTCAACTAGGCAAGCATTGTACAGTGCTGAGCCTTACACTAATCCCTTTGGAATCTCTCCAAATGCATTCTCACTCGGGGATGGTTTTCTGTTGACAATTGCATATCAAATCTGTCACTCAGCCAGTTCTTACCTCATTTAGCATATGCTCTATTATTATTAAGCAGAGATATTGTCTTGTAAAAGATCAAAGATCCTAAATCATTAAAATTATCTTCATCCGAACCACAGAGGATGAGATAAAAGAAGATTATTTAGCCACACCCAATTTCTGTAGATCAGGCATCAGTTATATTCCTGACCCTCTGTCAGTCCTGTTCTTTGCTTCTCAACCCAGCCAGGTTTAGTACAGCCTGTGGAACAGGAATCTGGCTTGTGTCTGGAGTAGGAAGGAGAAGGTTCCCGGTGGCTGCAGGCAGGCCAGGGCATCAGCTTCTCCAGCCTGTGCTATCTTAGACTGTGAATATATCTACTAAAGGTAGGGAGTACACCTATTAAATGTGAGCCAGCGCTTGTGCAGCTTTCTGTGGACTCCAGCTGGAGAACCTGTGAAAGAGTAACAGTGAGATATTAGTCACTTCATTCATCTCAGTGGGGTGTTAACTTTTCACACAGGTGATTTAGAGTCATGCAGCTATTTTATTTCCCTGCATTTGAACGGATTATTTGAATGTCTGAGGTAGGAAACTCCTTTAGATCATCTTGCCCAGCAACAGACACGTTGCGGGCTCATTCTTTTCAGTGCTTTATCCTGTGCTTTTCTCAGTGAGGATTTAAGTGTCCCCAGCATGGAGACTTCTGTTCCATGACCTAACCTCTATCCCACTTGAAGCATTTGGGATGAGACTGATAAAATTAATCAGTAATGCTACAGCATTAAAATGGGCATGTTTTCTTCGTATCTGTGATGTTAATTAACTTTCTTTTACAGTTCTTAGTTACACTCCAGAGACCAATTTCAACTTTGATGTGACTCCCCATGAAGTCTCTTGCAGTTGCCAACAGCGGAGATCAGTTTCGTTCATCTGACTTTTGCGAACTGTCAAAAAGAAAGCTGTTGGGAGGTCAGCATGGCATAACCAGTGCAGCTGTTGCCAGCAAAGGGAAGGGAGGAAAGCAGGGGAAGACCTTCTGAAGGAAAAAGCAGTCAGTAAGGGGGGAGAGGAGTAAGTGAAATATCTAGGGATCACACAGGGATATGCAATTTCCATCAAACCCTTGCTCCCTGAATAAGACCATGTGAATTTGGCCTGCCTATTATCTGTAGGAAAGTCTGGGAACCAGTTAGCTCTGTTGCCTGAATCTGCACCTGGCATGCATTTATTTAGAAACGGGGATACAAGGGATCTGGTTATGCCAGGGCTGGTTTGTACCTCATCCACATCTCCTGTGTCAGTGAATGCTTCATCTCCACACCCCCTGCACTTTAGGAATAAATCAGACAATATAATCGGACACACTGGGATAGCTGTTAGCTTCTGAAAAAGAAAATTTTAGGTTGTGCTTCCACAGTTCTTCAGGATGCATGTTTGTAAGGAGTAGACTGTAATTTGCCCAGGTGAAGTCTAGGTTTTCTTTCTTTAAAGGGATCCTAGTCCTTTTGTTGTCCAACTGGGTAACCTGTTGGAGCATGCCACCATTTCAGTGCACCCAGACTTCATTTCCATGGAAATAGAGAAACATGAAACCAGCGAGAAGGGCGTTTTCCCAGATCTTACCCAAACTCCAATACAGTGTGTGTACACCCAGTCTTGGGACCTCAAAACTGATCTCAGTTTCTACAGATACCCTGCAATCCCTCAGGCTGGCGTAGGCATTTACACAACCCTGTAAACAGAATCGTAGAATCTAGAAATAATTAGTGATTTTATCCCATATCACTGGTCTTGAAGTGCTTAGGACCGTGACGTGTGTCAGGCTGGAAGGATGGTGCTGAGCATCCCTCTAACCGTGCTATTGGATAGTGCTGCACAGAATCATAGAGTCATTTCGGTTGGAAAAGACCTTTAAGATCATCGAGGCCAACCATTAACTTAGTGATAGCTTCTAAACCATGTCCCTGAGCACCATATCTAGACAACTTTTAAACATATCCAAGGATGACGATGCAACCACTTCCCTGGGCAGCCTGTTCTGGTCTGTGATAACCCTTTCAGTGTACAAGTTTCTTCCTAATGCTCGAAGTCTTACGAACGCAGAAATTTGAGGGGAAATATTTATGCAGAGCAGCAATTAACACAGTTAATTGCATTTATCTTTCATGTTGGTAGATCTGCCAACTGTCAGCAATTTCAGACTAACGCATCGGTTAGATGTCTTCACGTTGATAATTGATTCCTCAATTGCATGTGAAAAAAATCACACTTATTAGAGCTAGTTTGCAGTGCATACCTTCTGGTTTTTCTCCTGGCGCTTTGGATCTGGTTTGTCTTAAATGGAGGTTAATCATTTTGTTTCCTTGGGGGAGAATAAATTACGTTTCATTTTCTGTTACGTTCTGGTAATTGCAGGATGTTGCAGAGCAAGTTCCAGGCGTTTAAATCTCACATCTTTCATGGGAGCTGGAGCATTTCCTGCTCTCCTGCTGCTTAGGGCGCATATTCTGAGCCCCAAAGCTATGGATGCCAAGTGTTTTTGCTAAGGAACTCTGAGCCCTCAGCTGAAGCCAAAGTTAGTGAAGAGTGCCCTGGAGCAATGGGCACATCATAGGTTTGACGTCAAAGTTCGAAAATTACTCATCCTAAATGTTCCTGTACGTTGAAGCCCACAGGCATCAATGCAGAGACTGCCAGGCACCCTCCACCGCCACCAGGATTAGCACTGGAGGCAACTATAACCTTTCTGGGTCTCGCTCTATATCTGACTGTAATTAACAGAAGTTTAGATGAGCAGGGAATGTGGAGAGAGGGAAATGTGTTAGATCACACAGCACTGGAAATTATGTCAGGGACTCACCAAGCTGTCCACATAAAAGTAGGAGGCAGTGAGGAGGCAGTGCTTCTCCAGTCGCCTGCCTCACTCTGCCAGTGATGAGGGACACTGCTGACGTCTTTCATGGTAGTGGTATGGAGAAAAGTGTTTTGAGAACCCCAAATTCTGTGATGCCGTGAAGTCTGTTGGAGGAGGGATCAGTGAGCCCTTGACTGACTGTTGATTATGGCCACTTTTTCTTGCTGCTCTCAGTAATAGCTCTGCTCGCTACTTGATGTGATTTTGCGACTGTCCAGGATCTGTACCTTTGAGGGACTCCTTACTCCAACAAACTTCCTCAGTTCCCTGCTCCTTGGCATCCTCTGACTCTCTTTCCTCCTGACACCCCACACCACCCAGTCTTGCTCCGTTTCACACTTCAGTGGGAACTGACAGGGCTGCGAACTGGAGGAGTGTGAAAGCTCAACCTGCCTCTGGGCTCCTCTCCCCTGCTGTAGCAGCTCTCCAGCTCCAGAGAGAGAGGGATGAAAGCAGAGAGGTGCACAAAGAGCACAAAGTGAAAGAGCCTGGGATCACGGATATCGCAATATTGTGGCAGAGGTGGTGGCAAATAGCCAGGGAGGTCACTGGGTGTTGTGTGGGCTTAAACCTGCAGCACCATCATGGGGTTGTCCTGCCATGCCCGTCTCTACTACCTGCGACTCAAATGCTGAGTTCGGTTTTGAGCCCCTCGTTACAACGAAGACATTGAGGTGCTGGAGTGTGTCCAAAGAAGGGTAACGAAGCTGATGAAGGGTCTAGAGAACAGGTCTTACGAGCAGCGGCTGAGGGAACTGGGACTGTTTAGCCTGGAGAAAAGGAGGCTGAGGGGAGACATTACCGCTCTCTGCAAGTACCTGAAAGGTGACGTTGGTCTCTCCCCACATGTAACAAGTGATAGGACAAGAGGAAATGACTTCAAGCTGCACCGGTGGGGGTTCAGATTAGATATTGGGAAAAACTTCACCGAGAGGGTTGTCAAGCATTGAAACAAGCTGCCCAGGGAACTGGCGGAGTGACCATCTCCACAGATATTTAAAAGACACGTAGATGTCGTGCTTAGGGACATGATTTAGTTGTGGACTTAGCATTGCTATGTTAATGGTTGGACTCAATGGTCTTAAAGGTCTTTTCCAACCTAAACGATTCTCTGATTCTACTCTGCATTAGGTGAGGCAGGCGTTCTCGAACATGCGTGCACACAGCTGTGCATGGGTGTGTGCCCAGACACGCTTTACGGCATTGGCTGACGGTGCAAGTGGAAGCTCAAAACCTCTGGGCCCCATCCTGCCGTGCAGGTGAGTGCCTGCACGCGGGAGAGCGGCCCTGCTGGTTCTGTTACCCGTCTCACATTAACGTTATTCATACTAGTGTGTTCACAAAAATTGGTAGGACAGGGCCCAAAGCAGTTAAAATTTCATATTTATTAAAACGCAGCTGTATTTATCTTTGTTAGAGACTTTTAAAAATAATAACACACAATGAACAATACAGTAACCAATGTGACATGAAGTCACGAAGCCATTTCCAGTCTTGCAACCCTGTCTAGTTCTTTAATGTTGGAACTTGGTCACAGATCGGGAGCTTCAGGGGTGCGAGCAGCAAAGCAGCTGTGTAATGAAATTACAGATCATGACCTGTCGTGGCAGTAGCAACACTGTAAATTATTTAGAAGAGCAAACTTTAACAAACCTGATCTACCTTTTTTTTTCCTTTTTTTTTTTTCCTGATTTTCTGCTTTATCTGTGAGCAGCTAAATCGATTTAAGTGGTCTGTTGTTTTTCTTCCTGGCAGATTTGAAAATTAGGCCACCAAGTCAACTGACCTATAGGAGTCTCCCCGGGGTTTTTATCCTTTAAGGTTGCACCTGGATTTTTGCATCAGTTTGGAATTTCAAGTTGTGCTCCTGCATCAGTATCAGAGCTGTCAGATATAGGCAGGAATAGTCTCTTTCTCTCTTTGTGTTCTTGCTGCTGTAAAGTTTGAGTGTTGAACACCAGATGATGATGTTTTCTAAGCAAAAGAGGGATTTCATTACCCATTAAAAAAATATGTTTGAGGTAGAACCGGAGTCTACTTCCACTTAAATAAATGAACCTGCAAAGTTTCACCTTGAGTTGATTGCCTAGCCATAAGCAGTAGAACAGTAGGGGTCTGTAAGCTGTCAAATGAATGATTCAGTAACACATTTGTGTGCTGAGAAGATAATAAAAAGAAAAAAAACAGTATTGCTGTTTCATTAGGCTTGTAGGCTTATCCGCCTTTCATAATCACATAAATCAGGAGTAGCTACACTTAAGTCAGTGAAGTTATCCTCCTGTAAAAGCATTATTTGTGAGGCAGGGATTGGATTAATATATAAATTACAAACCCATTTCAAAGATTTGTGGATGGATTTGGATTTGCTGTTGTTCCAGGCAGGTCCTGCCAGCCTCAGTTAACTGACCACTGTGTCGCTGGCTGGCACTAGAGTGAAAAAAGGAAAAAACAAAAAAGTGGGAGCATTTCCCCAGACTCCAGTGGGAACAGGATCAGATCCCTGATTGCTGCTTGCTCTTCTGGTGTTGCTGTTTGCATTGTTTGGTTATTTATTAGTGGTTTTCTTAAATAAAAGACATAACAGCTGTGTCTTTAAAGGTAGGGAGGTAGATGTGTTCCTCATTGCTGTGAGCTTGTGCATTTGCAGAAACGTGGAGTCTGTGGCAGCCGTGGAGCCCCTGCAGCGTCACCTGTGGGGACGGTGTCCGGGAGCGCTTCCGAGAGTGCCCCACCTCCTCGCCCGCAAAGCCAGGCTGCGCTGGATCCCCGAGGGAGACTTCCTTGTGCTCACTGGAGGAATGTTTGTGTACGTAGCTCTGCTGTCCTCTTCCCCGCGGTTGCGTGTCTGCCCTGGCAAAAGTTGAGGGCCTGTTGTTATAAAGGCTTTGTAAAGTAGAAGCATCTGATCTCTCCTTCGGTCGTGTTGGTTTTGGGAGGGTGTCACCTTCCTGCGGTTGAGGGAGTAGGCTGAGAGCCTACATGCATTTGTGGGACAGCTGAAGACAGGGCTCCAAGGCATAAGGTAGATTTCTGAGTGCTGTGGCTGCCATGGAAGGGGTTTAAAACCTTCAGCATGGCCAGGGAGTGGTGAAGGGCTGAAGGAGAGATCTTGGGGCTAGCAGAATGTTTTCACTACCAAAGGCCAAAGATTCCAGGCAGTGGAAACCTGTTAAAAAGTGAAGACCTATTAAAAGATAATCTGGTTCCAGCTGGGACCTGCAGTGTGAGGTTCCCATTCTTGGAGATTTTTGAGGTGATAGAGCCAGATCTCTCCCTGCTCCAACCTGCCACTGCTCTTGGCCAGTGACACAGCAAGCTGGCTGCTACTGGTGGGTGGCAAGTGGGTCCAGATACCAGAGACCTGAGCCTCCTGTAAGGCAACGAGGCATTACAGCAGCTGCACCACTCCAGTGAGGCTGGATGGGGTTGTGTCAGCGCCGTAGCCAGGTGCCTGCAGCCAGTGTGAGAGGCAGGAGAACTGGCCCCTTTTTAATGGGATGCTGCTGCTCAGTCCATGCAAAACTTTTGCTTCTTGCAAACTCCCTGCTGAAAAGGAGAATGCTGACACCGAGGGGTCTCAGAGGACCAGGGAAGTGATTTTACCCCTGTACTTGGCACCAGTGAGGCTGCATCTTGAGTACTGTGTTCAGTTTTGAGCCTCTCACTATGAGAAGAACATTGAGGTGCTGGAGCTTGTCCAATGAAGGGCAACAAAGCTGGTGAAGGATCTAGAGCACATGTCTTAGGAGGAGTGGTTGAGAGAACTGGGGTTGTTTAGCCTGGAGAAAAAGAGGCAGAAGGGAGACCTTATTGCTCTCTACATCTAACTGAAAGGATTTAGAGAGATGAGGGCTGGTCTGTTCAACCAAGTAACAAGTGATAAGACAAGAGGAAATGGCTTCAAGTTGCGCCAATGGAAGTTTAGATTAGATATTAGGAAGAATTTATGTACTGAAAGGGTTATCAGACATTGGAACAGTTTGGCCAGGGCAGTGATGGAGTCCCAATCCCTGTAGGTATTTAAGAGTTGGGTAGATATAGTGCTTAGGGCTACGGTTTAGTCGAGGAATTGTCAGTGTTAGGTGAATGGTTGGACTCGGTGATCTTAAAGGTCTTTTCCAGTCTAGGTGATTTTGTGATTCTGAGATCCATCTGCTCAGAAACTGATCTGCAAGCTCCAACACCTTTGTGTCCCACAAGTACAACAGGGCAGGGATGAGAAAGGAAAGGTGCCCAGGGGCGGTGCAGGCTCCTGGGCTCTCAGGCTATGATTCAACAGGACAATTTAAGCCGGTACAAAGTGAGCAGGGCCTTTCCCCTTGCTTTGGCTGCTTCTGTGCACTTCTTTGTGCTGGCCAAAGTGAAATGTGGAGAACTGGAAAGGAGACAGCTAAAAAAATGGACAGTTTGGGGATGTGGGGGAGTTGTTTTTCACATGGCTGCTGTAGTGTTTGTGCCACTGAAATAGGAAGGGCAGCGGATGGGGGGAATGTGTAGCTGGAGCAGGAAAAGGGCAGGACTGCTTTTTTTTTTTCACTCCACTCCTCTGAAGCGTAGAGATCAGTCCTGATCCACAGAGCTCCCAGGGGGAGAGCGTGTGTACACAGAGCATGTGCTGGACGTGTCATTTGGGTGTGCACCTTGCCTTACATGCACAGAGGTGACTCAGAAGGGCCTCTCTGGTGCTTCTCAGAGGTGTCTCTCTTTCCATGCAGGTGTGCAACTGTGTAAGGCTTATGGTGGATTCCAGAGGGGTCAGCTGTCCTGTGCATGTGTGGTGCACTTGCCCATGGCAGTCTGGTTGGAGTTACTGTCTGCCAACACTCAGCAGGCCAGAATAATCCTCAAATGCCAGCAGGGTCTCTGGGTTAATAAAGAGGGTTTATATAGGAAAAACCCAGATGCACAGGAGGCCTGCATCTGCACCCATTGCTGTGGGATCATCTGGAGGAACTACCTCACTTCTCTCCTGCATTTGGTTTCCAATCCTTCTGTTCCCATGTCAGGCAGTTTCTTTTACAGGATCACCTACGTGATTACATCTCATTGAATCTTAGGTTGCTTGAGAAGTGACATGACACTGTGATGATATGGTGTTCATCTACTGTCTGATCTCAGGCTGGGAGTGTTATTCCTCCCCACCCCCTGACTGTCCGCGCCTTTCCGAAGCAGGAAAACTTTTTTTTCTGGCATAACTATGTTTGCAGTCATTAGTCCAGCAGATGGAGCAAATGGCTGAATAAACGAAACTAGCACACAGTCTAAGGACAGAGGTACATCAAGTGGAGAGAAGCAATCCTGATTGACTAAGTCTTGTTTCAAGCCTAGCTATTTGCTAGCTCTTAGCTTTCACCTCCAGGTGATATAGCACAGCGTGCATTACAGATAGAAAACTGAGTCTTTAGAAGTCAACTGTGAGACTGAAAGAAGGATGAGGAATGAATGAGTTGCTCTGCTGTGGTGGTACTGAACTAGGCAAATGCTGGTCCTGCCTTCTCCCTGGAGGTCAGTGTGTTTGCTTCCCGTTCAGGGCCTCAGAACAGCAGCGCTCCATGCACCAGGCGTGATGGCATTGGGCTGAATGCAAGTTTCAGGGATCCTCCAAAAAAGATTCAGTGGGCAGTGGTCTTGTTCTTTATGCTCGTGTTGAGCTCTCAGAGTGACATGAAGATCAAGGTTAATCCCACGGCAGGATTTTTCAATGGTCTTGTGCTGTCAGGTAGCTCTGAGTCAAAGAAATGAGTCTCCTGCCCTTCTCGCACCTGGATATCTGTTACCACGGCAGCCTGAGACCTTCTCGCCTGTGCTTGTCAGTATATTTGTGCATCCTACACACCCACTAGCTGTGCTTCCAGCCTGTTGTTGAATGAATGTTCTTCTGGATCATGTGAAGTACGTGGTGTCTGCTTCTCATTCTTCTGCAGATGCATTTCCTATGGCTGGACAGTCACTGTGGTGCAGGCAGGATTGCCTGTCACCCCGAAGGAAGGCTCTGAGTTCTGGATCAAACTAGAGACTGGAAGAAAATTAAGTGGATCAGTTTGAGCTCACAGCTTCGTGGTCAGCTCTTGTCACTGAATAACAGAATGTTAGGGGTTGGAAGGAACCTCTGAAGATCACCTAGTCCAAATCCCCTGCCAGAGTAGGATCACCTAGAGCAGATCACTCAAGAAATGTCCAGGTGGATTTTGAAAGTCTCCAGTGTCAGAGACTCCACAACGTCTCTGGGCAGCCTGTTCCAGTGCTCCTTTACCTTAAAAATAAAGTATTTCTTTATGTTTAATTTGAATCTCCTGCTTTTTGTGACCATTGCCCTTTGTCCTGTTACTGGATGCCCCTGAGAAGAGTCTGGACCCATCCTCCTGACACCCATCCCTTATAAGAAGTGACGACACCTCCCCTCAGCCTCCTCTTCTCCAAGATGAACAGATCCAGCTCTCTCAGCCTTTCCTCGTATGGGAGGTTCTTCAACCCCCTCATCATCTTAGTGGCCCTGCACTGGACTCTCTCCAATAGTTCTTTGTCCTTCTTGAACTGGGGAGCCCAGGACTGAGCTGACCACACTGAGCAGCCTTGTCTTCTGACAGCATTTTCATAGCCTAAAGTTGGGAAGTGAGTGCTACATGATGCTCAAATTATCCACTAGACCAATTAATCCATCAACCGTGCTGTTTTCTGCTCAGGACTGCCACTGAAATGCTGGAGACCTCATCCAAAAAAAGAAGTATTAATCTCTCATTGCTTCAGCTGTCTGTAGTGCGGTGGTGTGTACAGAGAGAGGTTTAAGTAGGGCTGTGCAAAGCTCTGAGTTGTTCACGTTACAGGTTTGCAGGATGTTCTTTTCCGTTTGAAGGCCCATCTCCAGTCCATGACAGAGAGTGTCAGTGTCACAATGCCAGGGACACCAGAGCAATGGCTTCTGCTCAGATAAGAGCCTGCTGTGATGGGGAAGGTTTTGTCCCTTGGGGCTGCAATGCTGGACAGTGGTGGAAGAAGCATCCTCAGAGGATTGCCTAGAAAAGTTACATTGCCTCTGCTACTGCTGCCTCTCTGCTCTTCAAACTCACTGTGATTCTCACACCCACTTAAGCTACTCTAAAAATAATTTTAAAGTGATACCTAAAGTACTAGCCCCGGTTAAGTTATTTTTACCCCTTTTGTGGCACTTTTCACCAGGGAATCTTAATGTACGTCATAAAGGAGGGCAAATGCTCTTATCCGATTTTACACATGTTTAGGAGTGCCTTATGGAAATGGCAGAACAGGCAAAAGTAATGATTACATTTAAAAGGTCCGTGGCAGCCTTGGTTTAAGTAAGTAGATCTGTTCCTGCCAGTTTGAAGTCATTAATAGCAAGTCATCTGAAACAAGAAAATTTTAACTCCCTGTACTGTTTTAATTGCAGTCCCTTTGTAGTAAATTATCCATCCTAAAATAGCAAAATGCTGATGACAGTGCAACTCTGACAGACGTGTGTGCTCTTTTTACAGCTATCAAGCCGCCCACCCCACCCTCTGTCCAGCCAGGAGAGGACCAGAAAGCAAATAATATAGTTACCATCACAGGTATCTCCTTATGCTTGTTCATCATCTTTGCCACCGTCCTCATCACCCTCTGGAGGAAGCTCTGCAGAACTCAGAAGTGCAGCGCTGCTGTCCGACGAAACTCCGTCCACTCCCCTGGCTTCCGCAAAAACTCGGATGAAGAGAACATTTGCCAAGGAAACAAGCAGCGGGACAGCTTTGCCGAAGGAGGGGATGCCCCTGTTAACATTCCTCTGACCTACAGGCGAAGCCTCCAGTTTGCCCAAGAAGACGATGCCTCTGGAAGTGAGAACTTCCAGCCAAACGCTCAAAAAATAATTCCTCCGATTTTCAGCTACCGCCTGGCACAGCAGCAGCTGAAAGAGATGAAGAAGAAAGGCCTGACTGAGACCACCAAGGTGTACCACGTCTCTCAGAATCCCCTCACGGACACGGTTGTTGGTGCCACCACGATGCTTCCCCTCAGCGGGGAAAACCAAGAGGAGGCAGCAGCAAACAAATTTAGGATCAAATCTCCATTTCTGGACCAGCCAGGCAGTCAGCCCAAATTCCTGGGGGAAAGCTCTCACTCTAGGCTGGATTTTCCGTTCTCACAGGCTAATCCTGCAGTGAGCCCTACCCAAACCTTGATAAGAAGAGCTCATTTCAAGCACCAGGACAACAGAGGGGACTTGCTCGAGAGGGGCTGTCACAGAAACCCACAGTTTAGAAGAACAGCCAGTTTCCATGAAACTAAAAAGGCCAGGCCCTTCAGGGAGAGAAGCATGTCCACCCTCACCCCCCGACAGACTCCTCTCTACAACTCCAGGACCAGAACTTGGGACCAGGGTTTGGAGGAGAGAACGCGGCCGAAATCGAGAAACGCTAATCCAACATGTGAAAAGCTGGACCAGCCCCATGGCGCTGCACCGGCCTGCGAACCACAGGGCCATGGCACAAAGTGCCACCAGAGGGCAGGTCCCCCGGTGAAGAAGCTGGACCTGGTCACTGACCGCCAGCCAGGTCAGGAGAAAACAGCTGATAAGCCTGAGCCCAGTCGGAGTAAGAGGGGCCCTTCACCCAACCCCAGAGGCACGTGGCGGAAAGAAGCAGGCTCAGCTGGCAGAGATAATGCCCAGAGAGGCCTGAGCCTAAGCCCTGCCCAGTACCGAAGGGACAAGTGCCAGAGCTTCCCCTTGGACCCTGAGTTTGCCTTTTATGACAATACTACTTTTGGTTTAACGGAGGCAGAGCAGCAGATGATCGACCTTCCCGGCTATTTTGGCTCAAACGAAGAGGATGAAACAAGTACTTTAAGCATTGAGAAGCTGGTGATCTGAGCAGCTCGTTGCAGCCCAGCAGGAGGGGTGTGCGTGGGAGAGGATCCGCAGGATCTGTTGGCTTCTGGTGGAAGGAGAAGCAAGAATTGGATT